ACTCTGACTATAGAATAGGCTCTAAGAATAATGGAAAGAGGGAAAAACGCAAGCATTGCATATTCATTGTTATAGTACATTCTAGGCAAAATGGCTGATGTGCAAATATCTTTTCAAAAGTTTAGCGTTTCGCTTACCACACTCAGTTTTTATGTTTTATCTTATTGTTGCTTGAGTTTTGGGTGGTGTGGAGGGTGACTTTTTGCTACAAGTTTTTCCACTAAGTCTGGCGTGGTGCCTGACATTCACAAGGAAGGCACAAAATCACAAATCATATAAATCTTAGATTTCATCTACAAACTAGTCATCTCAAGGAATTTCTACTGAGTTAGCTAATTAAGTGAGCACCCAAATACTGTTTGCTGAACTGCCAGCAGTTAATAGCCATCTTAATCTCCCTGCAGTGCCGTCAAGCCACCAAATACATACCTCTGTATCTGACACAGGAGCTCTGGTGGCATAGTGCCTAAGGCATTTGACTGCTAATCAGGAAGCTGGCAGTTCAAACTCACCAGCCACTCTGCAGAAGGAAGACTGGGCAATCTACTTCGATAAAGATTTACCACCTCGGAAACCCAAGGGGGGTCGCTATGAGTCAAAATTGACTCAATGGCAATGAATTTTTTTTTTTAGTTTTTTATATCTGACATAAGTGGCTCTGTCAGAAACTTCCATACCTCTCCCACAGTGTCTAGCTCCTGTTTAACCTTTAAGAGTCCAATCAGGTGCCACCTCCTTCAGGTGAGGTGTCCTTTCTCTGTGTGCCCACACAGCACTTCTCATATCATACAGTAATGTGACTCTGTTGTCTCTTTCCAAGACTCTAAGTAACTTCATGCTAACTGCTCCCATGCTTCTTAATAAATTTCTGATTATACTAGAAGACCTTCTTCGACTTAATATTAAACAATATTTTCTAAGCAGGACTTCAGAGATCTAACAATATTATTTAATAAAAGTATAAAAATAATACCTGCCCTTCCTTCCTTAATTTCCTCTTGACACTCCTCTTCTCCTATATCCTCCTCTCTTTCTTGCTAACACGTACATGTGTGTGCACATGCACACACGCACACACACAGCTATACTGAAGAGTAGACATCTATGCTTGAACAGATTGCATTTAGAAATACAGCTTTTTTCTAAGTATTCCTCAAAACTATGCAACAGTGTTATCAAAATATATATCTATGTATGCAGAAATACATATATATTGTACATCATCTATCATTTTACTATGGAAATTTAATAGGACAGATTACTGCTATTATTTTTAATTTTCATTTAATATAATACTTTTTTATAAGACTGAGACAGACTAGGAAGAAGGAAGAGGCCGTCCACTTCTGAAAGAATTGGCCAGGGAAAACCTTATGAATAACAAAGAAACACTGTTTGGTACATTACTGCGCACCTTTAGGAATAGTCCGTTTAGGCTAAAAGGCTCTCAAAATAGGACTGGGAAAGAGCTGCAACATCTGAGT